GAGGCAAGCGAGAGGAGAAAATATCTGTGCAAGAAGCATTAAATCTGAGAGAAGAAAGAAAGATTTGAGAGAGAAGAGAAAATATTTGAAATTATGTGCTCTTGCATTATGGCAGGATAATTGTCCCATAGTAGTGTAGGTTTTTGAGAGCTGAAACCTGAGTCCACCCCCTCTCTTTAAGGTTGTTTTTTTTACTGAACATAAATGGCTTACTTCACACCCCTTTCAAACCACCTGTCTTCTTGGTCCAAAATGTGAAAATTATGTTCCTATTGTGGTCTATGTAGTTGGTTCATCAAGACTACAATCATACTTTTGAACATTGTTCTTAGGGTCACTGACAGGCCAGTCTGGCGGCTGGGTTGCCAAGCTAACCGGAGCAATAGGAATCCCAACAATGACCTGTCAAACCTGGTCAGGGGCTTGGGGATTTCCTGGTGCCTTGTGTCCTTTTGTAGCAAATAACAGGTAATATGACTTATTCAAGAGGAATGTGGTGAAAACCACATGTTTTACAAATAAAATTTAATTTGTTCAGCTGGAAAGATTTGACATTTTAGGTAATGTAGGTATAAAATAAAAATGTTTTGCCTCTGTTTAATGAAAATAATTTTAATGGAGATGATCGAACGGAGCAAGTGTACTTTTGCTGTAGAATGTATGATTCTTGTACAAACAAGAAACATACCGTATGTAATCTTAGGCTGACTTTTCATGAAGACCTAATTTAGAGAATAGTAACCCCTTTATATGTATATCATTTTTTATGGCTCTATGCAAACAGGGATAGAAGAGGAGAGATAAAGAGCTTAATGCTGTCTGTCAGCTTCTGCAGATCTGTTTTGAAGTCCTTACATCATAATTCCACAGCTTTTACTTTATATATATCCTTTTATTTATAAAGTTAAATATAATGTCCTGGAAAATGGGGACTAACTTTGATATATGACATTTAAGATAATTCCCATTTGTGCTTTAGGTAGGAGATTAACCTCATCAAGTGTATATAACCAATTTTAGTTGTTAATTTAAATTGATTTTGTCATTATAAAGCAACTCTGACCAGATGTACTGTAGGTTGGCAAAAAAAATAGATGTTAAATAATCTAACTTTTTAAACTTAGGGTTTTACTTATAGCTGGCCAGCAATGTAAGCTGGGGTACTCATTAGGCTAATCAATGCCATGCTCTTCCCAGCTGTCTTCAATTGCAGCCACCAGGTGCAGGGGAACTTTTTTAAATGTATCTCTCAGAGAAAATTGGGGGGAAAAAAAGATTGTATCTCATAGATGTAGTAAATGCAGGTTTTATGATAGCCTATGATTACATCTATTTGACTCATGTCTTTTTTATGGCTATAAATAAGGGTTATTACATTACTAGCCTTCACTAGGAAGAAAACAGTAATGTCTCTTGGGCTGGGTTTCCTGAAAAGTAGCCAATCATTGACAGTTTTCTAAGTTGGTTCCACCCTACATATGACATAAGTTGACATGAATGCACGGAAACAGGTCCACAGGGGAGTAGGAGAGAATATACCCATGCTGTTGATCTATTGTGGGTCTCATTGTATTAAATTTGCACAAATTAGTGTTCAAAATCTGTGTAGAGTAGTTTATGTGCATAAGTTTTACATAAAAATGCTCTTATGAGTATATATTACATGTGTTATAATATACTTTTTTAATAAACTTTTTTTTTTTCTTAGCTATGGTAGGAGATCAGGAAAACACAAAAAAGATCAAGTCAAATAGAAACCTTCTTTGAGCTTAAAAAAACAAAAACAAAAGTGGAACAACAAGGATGCCTGTGAGGTCCAATAGTGGTTTATCGCCTGTTTATCAATATAAAAAAAAAACTTAGCAGCAAACTTCACAAAAAGCTCCCTGACAATCACCTGGCCTCATGCATTTTTTTCCTTCAAACATTATATTTTGTATTTATTAAAATCATTTATCAGTTCTATTTTACTGATCGGGACATCTGCTCCCTGTTTGCTTAGTAGGAAACTCTCTACAGTATATGAGCTGCAGCCAGTGTGACAAGAAAACAAAATGCTTTGGAGGTTGCAGAGTCCAATGGATGAAGGCGGTGTGACCCAGCCTTTATACTTTTTAATCAAAAGTGTGCTTGAAAGACATGGTATAAAGGAGGATGATCCTTTAGAGAAGGAGTAAGAGAGTAATCAAGTTCACTAAAGTGAAATAAAAACTGTCCAAGCCAGTGACTCCAAACCCTATTCCACAATCACCTTCATGTTTTCACATCTGTTTCAGCACAATTGATTGAAATGATCACCTCTTCTGCTGCCTAGTGCTGCTGCAGCCTGTCAATCACTCATATATTCGTGTCAGGTGCAGTGGCAGCTGGTCAATAGAGGGAGCTAGGGCGCCGTCTCAACCACCCATTGACTCTGATTAAGACAAAAAAAAATTATATATATAAATAGATAAATATTTACATTTAATGACGAGTTAAGCGTAATTTCATTTTTTTTCAGATTGGTGACGTATTTCTGCCCTAGGGTGCAAAAATGTTTGCTGTTGTTAAAAGTTGTACATGCATAGTAGCTCCTCTGCAATACAAAGATATAGGAGAGCTTAGGGCGCAGCTAAGCAGCGACCTGAGGTGACAGGAAGTGTATTTGCTCACTTCCTCCCGCCACAGTGCAGACATTTTGCGGGTGATTTACAGGTCGAGTCGCAGGAGATGAGGACGCATTGGAGAGAGAAAGAGAGAATGGTGCAAGAAAGTCCTTTTCCAGGACCTGATTTAGCAAGAGGGCTTGGCTAACTGCATGCAGCGCGGCTAAGGCTTTATTCTGCTTTCCCTTCCTCTAGCTTCTCCATTATTAAACTGTTACATTATTTTTTGTGACACAATATTCGCCCATGGAAAACACAGATTTGCTTTCACAAAACCTCAGAAGGGCAAAATTTATGTACCAAAAATAAACTTGTACGTGAAATGTTTTGTTTTATAGCGTGTTTTTACAACGTTTTTTGTTGTTGGCATTCATATAAATATACTGTTGTGATAACTTGGTATACGTTTGATTGTTTTTTGTTGTACGTCTATTTTGAATTTATAGCTCCCCCCAGGAGAGAACTCCACCAGCCGCCACTGGTCAGATGTGAGCAAGCAGGGACACATAAAACATGCGGGCCAGTGGTATACTGGTACTAGAGGAGGCGGATCGGGAACCACTGTTCTAAGTCAAGTCTCTCCTCTTTGAAATAGTGTATTGTTTTTCAATCTTGTTTATACATTTATATATTTTAAATAGTTATTTGTGATATAGAGACAAATTTGGCCCTACTATACTAATCAGAGCCATTATTACCTTGGATAGATCAAATATGGTAATTTATTTACAAGACTTTAAGTCCAGAGTGAGATTGAACTGAAACTCAGACATAAAAGCTGTTCTTCATAAACTCCATCTAACAGACAGAACTTTTAATTATTTTACAAAGAAAAGGCAACATTTGAATTTCTAGTGTTCAGGCATACACTAAGAAGTGGGCTGAACGCAAATGGAGGGCACATGTTTGAGATTTTTATTTACATCATGCATTGGTTTCATTCTACTTTATGAATGATCTTCTAGGTTTTTGGCTAAAACATAAGGGGAAAAATTAATAGTATGGCTAGTCTTTATAAGACGCCTGTTGCTTATCTCATTGGTACATTGAACTCATTAGTACACTGAACTGTTTGTTCAGTGTACTCATGAGATTAACACAGTCCCAATGGATGATTCAGTCTCTTAGGATGGTTTCATACAGATTATTCTTATAAATATGTGTGGTTTTACCTGTGTTTTTACCTATTTCCTGGCACATCAAACTTATCAAACAAGTCAGTGACATTATAAATAAAAAGGTCAATATAATACAATGCCATCATATTGACCTTGCCATCATTTTGAAAAAGTGTCAAAATGATGGCACTTTTTCATTGGATCAATAAAAAATATATTTTTTGCTTTTTAACAAACGAAAAATAACTGTTGAACTTTTATATCTATTTACCTAGAACTCTTGTGAAATGTTTTTTTTTTTTTTTCAGTAAATCAAACACTCACCTTGCTTTGGTATATTTGGCTCTTTGCAAACCGTCTCATCAAGTCATCCTTTAAGTTTCAAACCAGATCAGCTCCAGTTGTTTGCTGCCTGGTGGCCAAACACCCAAAAATCAGATCCAAGGACTCAAATTCAGCAAAGGCGAGAAGAAAACACCAAAAGTGGACATTTTCGCTCCATGCGCCCCTTCTTTTTTACGCGCACTAAAGTTAAACCGCGGCGTCATCTCTGCGCTTATTTCTCATCAGTTTTACTTTAAAAGATAAAGAAGGAAGGATTGAAGGGGACTATTTATAAGAAATGACGGCGTGTTTGCCATGAGATGAGAAGAAATGTGTTACTGTAACCCGGAAAGAGGGAGGGGTTAGATGATCCATAAAAGCGCGTTTCAGAGAAGATGCGTTTCCTTTGCCCACATCGACTGTATGAACAAATCAGACTTTTATAAGTCTAAAAGGAAGAATAAATGAGCCGAAGAGCAGGTTTAAGCGGAGTTTGGGATGATTATATAGAGGTGAAAGAGATCCCCACCTCCAGAAGTCATCAAAAGCATCCAGATCTTCTGAGATGCAGGAATAAGTTTTTCAGCAGGGGTGGGAGGGGCGATGGTGGGAAGCATAAAGGGGCTGATATAGTGAGAGAAAAAGCGCTGATAAATCCATTGATCGGTGTAGGCAAAGGAAACAGGATCAACAAATGAAGGGAAACGTCCGCTTCCAATGCTTTCATTGTTTCTGCTTAAAATAAGCGCATCCTTTATGGGTCTTTGTCTGAGAGGGGGGGGTTTGGAAACTTAAGGACACACAGAAAGGTATTTAATTATTGGCAGTATTATCTTACACAGGATCTTACAGACGCACCTTAGTAGATTATAACATTCTATAAAAGTAGTTTATGCAGCAATTCAACTCATAAAGTAAACACCCACTCATTCCACGCAGAGTGGAATGAACGAGTGCTGTTTCCTGGTTCAATCACAAATCTAAACGCTCTCCATTGAAACTACTGTTTGGACCAAAAATATATATAGGTCAGACCATTTTCTAAAGAAAACAGAACCTCTGGGGAGTCGATTTTATTGAACAGAAGCCTTTTTTTTTCTTTTTTTTCTATTTATTTATTGATATAAGGATTAAAACAGCATTACAGAGAAGTAACATCATAGTTGTGAATTATTAAGCTGGAAGTGTCATGGTATGGGGATGTTTAGCTACAGGAGGGACTTACCAGTTCACCTTTACAGAGTTCACATATAAAGGCTTATATATGGAGTGAACTTTGTTTCATTATTGTTGCAGGGTAAAAAATTTTTATAAAGATAATTTGAAAAAACAAACACATTTTTAAATAAAGGTAAATAATAAAAAATGATTTCCAGAAATTAAAATTTGAAATATGTCTTTTGATCAAAAGAAAATTATGAGAGTAACTCATATATATATATATATATATATATATATATATATATAGTATTTTCAAACTTTAGTTTTGAAATTTTGATTTTGTAAAAGGCAGATTTTTATATCTGTTTTTCAAATTGCATTCTTTTTAAGTAAAGTGTCACACCAGGATCACATTTTCTTCACTTCTGGGGGCTTAGACTTAGACCCTTTCAATAATCCCGCTGGGGGCAATTTGTTTGAGTCGTACACAAGACAACAAACAAAAATAAACAACTAATAACAAAAAATAAGAACAAAAAAAAAATTGTGACAAGGAGCTTAAGGACCACCTTTCTTTTGGAGTCAGAAGCAAAGGTGTATTTCTCTCAGTTTGCATGGATGTTCCAGCTTCAGTGTAGTGTACAATATTCAATTCAATTCAGTTTATTTATATAGCGCCAAATTCACAACACATGTCATATCAAGGCACTTTACAGTTCAACCAGATCATACAGTCAAATTGATACAAAGTTTTCTATCTAAGGAAAACCATTTGATTG